TATATATATATATATATATATATATATATACATTTAAAATAAACGGCTTAAAATATGAAATAATATTTATGCATATAAAAACATACACATGTTTCGCACAAAACATATTAAAGTAGTTTAGCAAGCTCTGCTCGAAATTACATTGTTATTAGATCTGTATCTTTAATTACCGAGTATTGCAGACTAATATTTTTATGAGTTTTAAAAATAAATTTAAAAAATTATTAATATGTGTGCATGGATCTGAAGAGCCGCATCTTGCCATCAAAAGAGCCGCATGCGGCTCGCGAGCCGCAGGTTGCCCACCCCTGCCCTAGGGTCGGAAGAAAAATTTATTTTCTACTTTTTAGTCCACAAGAAAAACGTGGTTTTTTTTAAAAGTTTTTTTCGGTTTTTTTTTCCGTTTTAAACATAAAATAAAAAAAAAAAACCACAGAATGGTTCATGTCGTGTGAGCGCTGATAAAGCTCTAGTTCTCACACCTCTACTAATTAACTATTTAATACAGCAATATTTTTCTCTTTAAACTAAAAATCAATTATTAATTCTAAAATGTATCAGATAATAAAATTAGACCAGCATTCATATAAGGTTTTTAATATTCGCGTTTTGTATAATAATAAACAATTTTTCCTGTTTACTATATTATTACAATTAGACTTTTCAATAAGTTAATGAGTTGGGAACTAGTTGTATCCCTTGTTTATTTTTTTATTTATTATAAAGGGGATGTAAGGGAAGTAACTGAATAAATAAATATTCTATTTAAAATAATTCACTGAGATTTGTCTAAACTTAGTAAACGTTTTACTAATTAATATATTTACTTACAACTGTGTTTTTTAATATTATAAATTGCTGTTGAAGATCTTCCCCTCCCTTAGTATTTGCATCACCATGTAGGCCCACCTCCATTTTGAGAACCGCTTTTTGACAATTTAAAACGTCTGTCGATTTAATAACTCCAAACCATACTAGGAGCTAAACTTTAAAATATCAGTAGAGCTTAACATTAAAATATCAGTAGAGCTTAACATTAAAATATCAGTAGAGGTTAACATTAAAATATCAGTAGAGCTTAACATTAAAATATCAGTAGAGGTTAACATTAAAATATCAGTAGAGCTTAACTTTAAAATATCAGTAGAGCTTAACTTTAAAATATCAGTAGAGCTTAACTTTAAAAACTTGCCTCTAAATCTTTAATAAGTAAAGGTTAACTAGTTTAATTAACTTTAATTCTAAAACATAATGAGTCATGTCTAGTTAAGAATTTTATTCCCCTCAAACAACATAGAACCTAATTTGAGACAGTAGAATCGATTTTCTGATTGCGTGTTTATTGGGTTTTAATGTTTGTGTTCATAGATTGCTAAAAATGTCCCCCGTATCAGTTAACCAGTTATGTTATCACTTAGCCGGTTATGTTATCAGTTAGTCGGTTATGTTATCACTTAGCCGGTGGTGTTATCAGTTAGCCGGTTATGTTATCAGTTAGCCGGTTATGTTATCACTTAGTCGGTTATGTTATCAGTTAGCCGGTTTTTTTATCACTTAGTCGGTTATGTTATCAGTTAGCCGGTTATGTTATCACTTAGTCGGTTATGTTATCAGTTTGCCGGTTATGTTATCACTTAGTCGGTTATGTTATCAGTTAGCCGGTTATGTTATCAGTTAGCCAGTTATTTAATCAGTTAGCTGGTTATGTTATCACTTAGTCGGTTATATTATCAGTTAGCCAGTTATCTTATCAGTTTTCCGGTTATGTTATCAGTTTGCCGGTTGTGTTATCAGTTTGCCGGTTGTGTTATCAGTTAGCCGGTTATGTTATCGGTTGTCGGTTATGTTATCAGTTATCCAGTTAAGTTATCACTTAGCCAGTTATTTTATCAGTTATCTAGTAAAGTTATCACTTAGCTAGTTATTTTATCAGTTAGCCGGTTACGTGATCACTTAGCCAGTTATTTTATCAGTTAGCCGGTTATCTTATCACTTAGCCAGTTATGTTATCACTTAGCCAGTTATGTTATTACTTAGCCAGTTAAGTTATCAGTTAACCGGTTATGTTATCAGTTAGCCGGCTATCGGCTCTATCATTTTCTACACCATGTTGTATTCTAGACCCATTTTTCATTGTATCCGTAACATAATTATTTGCATTTTTAAAATAGTTAAAGATTTCATTTGAGTTTAAAGCATAGAACTGACCAGACTATTCTATTATATGACAAGTTCACAGAAGCAGATCAACTCTACTTCATCCGTTTTGTTGATCGCCTGACCCGAAAGGGTAACAACAGCAATATGTTGGTAACAGCTTATCTGTACTTTTTAGCGCAATTTCCATTCTGGAGAATTGCGTTTATTAACTCGTCATTTCTGGGAATGGATGGATGAATGTATGGATGAATGAATGTATGGATGAATGAATGTGTGTCCGGGCTTTAAGTCGTATCTCCTCCTCAACGAAGCAATATCGATGACTAGTTCCAAAAGCAATTATGTTAAGCAAGCTACGAGAATGAGCATAGGCCATAAAAATTCCGGGTTTCTTTCATGTATTTCCCGGAAAAGCCAAAAAACCTCGAAAAAATTCAGTTTTTGGCCTATATCTCGGCAACCAGACCACTTAGCGACTTGAAACATGTACCAATCGATTCCTGCCATAATTTAGAACAATATTGCCGAAGAAAGTTTTCAAAAATATCCTTTCGTTCGGTCACAAAAAATTTTTGAATTAATTAAATTTGGACCGAATTAGTAGGCATTTTTTCCAACCACACCACACGCGTCATCACGTTCAATAGCTGCGCCATCGCGTTCCATGGCTGCGCCATCACGTTCAGTAGGCGCGCAATGGTTTTTAGTCATGTAACTCTATTGTAAATAAAACATGTAAAATACTGAAAAAAATTAATAAAAAACGTTTTAATAACTAACCAATGGTTTTACTAACCCTGCTCTTGATTTACGCTACGACAGAGCTATTTTTAGATAACGTAAGGAAATTGCGCTAAAATTGTCACTAGACTTTTTAATTACCTTGTTTTTAATTCTAATAATGTATATTTTACTTGTTTAAAGTAAGAGACGGACCCTAAGAAATATTGTTTTATTGTCTTCCACAGAAAGTAAGAGACGGGCCCTAAGAAATATTGTTTTATTGTCTTCCACAGGAAGTAAGAGACGGACCCTAAGAAATATTGTTTTATTGTCTTCCACAGAAAGTAAGAGACGGACCCTAAGAAATATTGTTTTATTGTCTTCCACAGGAAGTAAGAGACGGACCCTAAGAAATATTGTTTTATTGTCTTCCACAGGAAGTAAGAGACGGACCCTAAGAAATATTGTTTTATTGTCTTCCACAGAAAGTAAGAGACGGACCCTAAGAAATATTGTTTTATTGTCTTCCACAGAAAGTAAGAGACGGACCCTAAGAAATATTGTTTTATTGTCTTCCACAGAAAGTAAGAGACGGACCCTAAGAAATATTGTTTTATTGTCTTCCACAGGAAGTAAGAGACGGACCCTAAGAAATATTGTTTTATTGTCTTCCACAGGAAGTAAGAGACGGACCCTAAGAAATATTGTTTTATTGTCTTCCACAGGAAGTAAGAGACGGACCCTAAGAAATATTGTTTTATTGTCTTCCACAGGAAGTAAGAGACGGACACTAAGAAATATTGTTTTAATGTCTTCCACAGGAAGTAAGAGACGGACACTAAGAAATATTGTTTTAATGTCTTCCACAGGAAGTAAGAGACGGACACTAAGAAATATTGTTTTATTGTCTTCCACAGGAAGTAAGAGACGGACCCTAAGAAATATTGTTTTATTGTCTTCCACAGGAAGTAAGAGACGGACCCTAAGAAATATTGTTTTATTGTCTTCCACAGAAAGTAAGAGACGGACCCTAAGAAATATTGTTTTATTGTCTTCCACAGGAAGTAAGAGACGGACACTAAGAAATATTGTTTTATTGTCTTCCACAGAAAGTAAGAGACGGACCCTAAGAAATATTGTTTTATTGTCTTCCACAGGAAGTAAGAGACGGACCCTAAGAAATATTGTTTTATTGTCTTCCACAGAAAGTAAGAGACGGACCCTAAGAAATATTGTTTTATTGTCTTCCACAGGAAGTAAGAGACGGACCCTAAGAAATATTGTTTTATTGTCTTCCACAGAAAGTAAAAGACGGACCCTAAGAAATATTGTTTTATTGTCTTCCACAGGGAGTAAGAGACGGACCCTAAGAAATATTGTTTTATTGTCTTCCACAGAAAGTAAGAGACGGACCCTAAGAAATATTGTTTTATTGTCTTCCACAGGAAGTAAGAGACGGACCCTAAGAAATATTGTTTTATTGTCTTCCACAGAAAGTAAGAGACGGACCCTAAGAAATATTGTTTTATTGTCTTCCACAGGAAGTAAGAAACGGACCCTAAGACATATTGTTTTATTGTCTTCCACAGGAAGTAAGAGACGGACACTAAGAAATATTGTTTTATTGTCTTCCACAGAAAGTAAGAGACGGACCCTAAGAAATATTGTTTTATTGTCTTCCACAGGAAGTAAGAGACGGACCCTAAGAAATATTGTTTTATTGTCTTCCACAGAAAGTAAAAGACGGACCCTAAGAAATATTGTTTTATTGTCTTCCACAGGGAGTAAGAGACGGACCCTAAGAAATATTGTTTTATTGTCTTCCACAGAAAGTAAGAGACGGACCCTAAGAAATATTGTTTTATTGTCTTCCACAGGAAGTAAGAGACGGACCCTAAGAAATATTGTTTTATTGTCTTCCACAGAAAGTAAGAGACGGACCCTAAGAAATATTGTTTTATTGTCTTCCACAGGAAGTAAGAAACGGACCCTAAGACATATTGTTTTATTGTCTTCCACAGGAAGTAAGAGACGGACACTAAGAAATATTGTTTTATTGTCTTCCACAGGAAGTAAGAGACGGACCCTAAGAAATATTGTTTTATTGTCTTCCACAGGGAGTAAGAGACGGACCCTAAAAAAACTTAAAAGCCTCTCAAGTCCGGACACGAGCAGGGTGACGTCAGATCCGCCTGTCATAATGTCTGCCGACCTTGAGGTCCCCACTTCCGGCGAGCCTCCCCCAGCCGGTAAAACGAAACATCGGATAAAATTATGGGATAGTTTTCTCAGCAAGACAAAAAACATGCGCATCCGGAAGAAAGAGAAGCACCCAAAACTGAAGCGTCGCTCGTCCAGCCAGCCAAACATTCCCATCACATCCCGTAACAAGCCTGCTGGCGAGGGCATAAACAAATCTTTACCCGTCTCAAATGGCAATGACGCCGAAGACTCGACTGACTCTAGACGCGCAAGACTCAAGCACCAGAAGGAGCTTAGGACGAGCGCGTCCAGTCTGGCCGAGTCACCTTCCAAAATGTCCAGCGGCGCTGACCACTTGCAGCAGACGTCACCGGTCAGCATGCAGGACACCGAGAGCTTCAGCTACCAGTCGTACAGTGAGATCTCCAACAATCAACCCTCCATCACTGATCCGACCTTGACCCTTGACCAAGAAGGTCAAGGTTCGGTGGACGATACGTACAGCCAGTTAGGACGCGGGGCGTCGGTAGATAAGGAGGACCTGGAGTATGACGACGACGATGAAAGGTATAAGGAGAACGAAGAGGCAGAAGATGACGTCCCAGTCCTGGTCCAGAGCTCGCTGTCGGTAAGATTTTTTAAATCTCTGATGATATCTCACTGTCCGACAGATTTTACCTCACCTAACTGTCCGACAGATTTCACCTCACCTAACTGTCGGACAGACTACAACTCACCTAACTGTCCGACAGATTTCACCTCACCTAACTGTCCGACAGATTTCACCTCACCTAACTGTCCGACAGATTACAACTCACCTAACTTTCCGACAGATTACAACTCACCTAACTGTCCGACAGATTTCACCTCACCTAACTGTCCGACAGATTTCACCTCACCTAACTTTCCGACAGATTTCACCTCACCTAACTGTCCGACAGATTTCACCTCACCTAACTGTCCGACAGATTTCACCTCACCTAACTGTCCGACAGATTTCACCTCACCTAACTGTCCGACAGACTACAACTCACCTAACTGTCCGACAGACTACAACTCACCTGTCGGACACACTTCCCCTCACCTAACCCCCCCCCCTTCCCCATATGTTGCACTCCCTGACATTGGCAGTCTCCCACACTGATCCCTGTGTTGACACAGGCAACACACCAATGATATCGGCACTACGGCTATTGATTGTGTGTTCGTCTATTGACTGCTAGCAGCTGTGTTTGTACTGGCGTGTGTTGCCTCATCTCAGTGTGTTGTGTCGGACTGTGTTGCCTCATCCCAGTGTGTTGTGACTGCCAATACTGCCGATAGTAATCAATCTCAATGCAATCCTATGCAATATAATAACATACTGCACTATCCCAATGCAGTCCTATGCAATATCTTCAAATATTGCACTACCCAATGCACTGCCTTAACATAGTACCCTATCCCATAGTTCTGTACTGCCCTAAACTAGCTGTATTAGTATTTTCATGTGTGTGTATTATTATTTTGTATACCATCAATTTTGCACTTGCCTACACTTATTGCCATATATATATATATATATATATATATATATATATATATATATATATATATATATATATATATATATAATGTGTGTGTGTCTATTATATTACATAAGGCCACCCTAAAAAAGCTTTGCGACACATTTTCAATGTTATTGTATACTCAATGTATTTCCCTAGATGATTGTATTGGTTGTGCTTTCAGTACTTATCCATCAATCATACTTGATCACCTCCCAATCCCATCCATATACGAAATATATTGTCTGTTGCTGGTTTATTCTTATCTATTAAAAGAATCCTCTTTCGTTAAGAATGCAATTTACCTGACATTTCAGTGGTAATTCGGCTTCGGTCATTTGTATTTTCTGGTTTGCTGTGTTCAATATCACTATCAGAATGTGCTTTACACATTGGGTCTCCCAATACAAGTTTCATTGCATTACGGCAACAGCTAAAGATAATTTAACAATATATTTTAATTAAGGTCTACTTGAAAATAGCCACGGAGAACAGAAAAAGTTGTATATATAGAACAGCAGATTTTACTGTTAAGCTCAAAACACAAATAGGCTACTGTAGGTTACGAGATATTGCCTTTTTGGATAGTTAACTCTTGCTTAACACAGCACAAATAGAAATAAATTTTGTTTCTGTTTTAAAAAAGAAATTCCTACTTTTTAAAATGTATTTAGTCTACTCGCTTATTTTTTTGTGTTCTATAAAAATTAAATGATGTGTTTATTGCAATATTTTACCCTAGATTAGCAGTCTTGTATTCTCATATAGTCTACTTCGTGGCTTCCTTGTTTCTCATTTTGTCTACTTTATTGTTTTCTAGTTTCTCAAATAGTCCAGTTCAAAAATTTGTAATTGCTCATCGTACAGTTTACTTGCAGTTTTGTAGGACATTTTACCATTTATTAAACACTTAGATATTTTTTTTTAGAAACTACTTCTTTGAACCCGAGCGCTACATTTTATTTAATTGTTCGCCAAAGATAAAATGTCGCTTTCAACTTTGAAAAATGTATTTAAATTTTACATAAAAATAATCCAACATAAACGTTTTTTGCACATTTATTAAACTGTCAGTTTTGATCTTCCCTCTACCAGCTGTCTTACACTGTGTGACCTTTGCAGGCTGCTCTATTTATTGCTGGGATATCGGTAAAATGTGCGGTCGTTAACTCACACGTAAGGTGGGGTATGTCATATCGACCGTGATGTGAGCGTTTATGTAGTGGGGGAAAGATGTACAGTCTATGCTGCACGTCATTATTTGAGGATGTCTCTCTCAACTCATTACATGAGCTCCAAAATGGTATGAGATGTTAACGTCATTCTCGTTGTATTGTAGGACGTTAAGCTCGCCTGATAAGATAACTCTCACTACAGCTTGAGATGACGTTTATTTTATTGTATGTAATGATGTCAATGATGCAGTATAAAATTGACCTCTGACGTATCTTAATGACGTCTCAATCATTTGAAATGACGTCACATTCATCATCAGAGGTATCACATTCACAATCCAATCAAACTGGTTATTGTTTTTATTCCCGGAGCTTAATTTTATTCACAAATGTCAATTTAAAGCTGCTGATAATGGATTTCACCAACCGCTGCTTGTTAAGAGAAAACAGGTTGTAAATATTTAATTAAAGCTGCCCTCTAATGTTAGAAACATGAACCTTGCCTAATGTTAGAAACATGAACCTTGCCTAATGTTAGAAACATGAACCTTGCCTAATGTTAGAAACACGAACCTTGCCTAATGTTAGAAACACGAACCTTGCCTAATGTTAGAAACACGAACCTTGCCTAATGTTAGAAACACGAACCTTGCCTAATGTTAGAAACGTGAACCTTGCCTAATGTTAGAAACATGAACTTTGCCTAATGCTTGAAACGTGAACCTTGCCTAATGTTAGAAACACGAACCTTGCCTAATGTTAGAAACATGAACCTTGTCCAATGTTAGAAACATGAACTTTGCCTAATGCTTGAAACGTGAACCTTGCTTAATGTTAGAAATATGAACTTAGCCTAATGTTTGAAACATGAACTTTGCCTAATGTTTGAAACATGAACCTTGCCTAATGTTAGAAACGTGAACCTTGCCTAATGTTAGAAACATGAACCTTGCTTAATGTTAGAAATATGAACTTAGCCTAATGTTTGAAACATGAACTTTGCCTAATGTTTGAAACATGAACCTTGCCTAATGTTAGAAACGTGAACCTTGTCCAATGTTAGAAACATGAACCTTTGCCTAATGCTTGAAACATGAACCTTGCCTAATGTTAGAAACATGAACCTTGCCTAATGTTAGAAACATGAACCTTGCCTAATGTTAGAAACATGAACCTTACCTAATGTTAGAAACATGAACCTTACCTAATGTTAGAAACATGAACCTTGCCTAATGTTAGAAACATGAACCTTGCCTAATGTTAGAAACATGAACCTTGCCTAATGTTAGAAACATGAACCTTACCTAATGTTAGAAACATGAACCTTACCTAATGTTAGAAACATGAACCTTGCCTAATGTTAGAAACATGAACCTTGCCTAGTGCAGTGACAAGCTGCACCAACGACCCAGACAAAATTTTGTTGCCGATTCTAAAAGTTCATTGGGGAAATTAACAGTCCGGACCATACGGACATCAAACGTCCATCGCATCTTCAAGATCTCTTTGAAAATGGATAAACATATACGACCGCTGAAAAAATGTCTAATACGACCCGCCATCCAAATATTTCAAATGGATAAACAGTTATGGATATGACGGGGAGGGGCAGCCTGTTATGGATTCTAATATGAAACACCATTCGTTGTCAAATAAACGAGTGCTCTGATAGGAAACGGACACGCTATATCAGTCGGCGGTGGGATATTAAGGGGAAGTAATAGAAATAAAGTCTCCGGAGAGTTGCGGTTCTTTGTGCCCACTAGCTTGGTTCACTACTCTTGGGTCCTAGATTGTTAATCTGTGTCCTACGTGGTTCATAATACTAGGTCCTGATGTTGTAGTGTATGTGTCCTACATAGTTCATAACTACTGGCTCTGATGTTGTAGTTTATGTGTCCTGCATAGTTCATAACTACTGGGTCCTAATATATAGTAGTTTATGTGTCCTACGTAGTTCATAATACTAGGTCCTGATGTTGTAGTTTATGTGTCCTGCATCGTTGATAACGGTTGTGTCCTGAAGTTGTTGTGTATGTGTCCTACATAGTTCATAACTATGGGTCCTAATATAGTGGTTTATGTGTGTTGCATCGTTCATAACTGCTGTGTCTTAATGTTGTAGTGTATGTGTCCTCCATCGCTCATAGTCAATTGTGACGTAATCATTGAGTCCTATATAGTCGATTGAGTCCAAGACAATCATCGAGTACAATATAATTCATTATATCCTTTATAGTTAATTTTGTCCATACATAGTTCATTATTATCGACTATATATTTTACTGAGCCCTACATGGTTCATTATGTCCTACCTAGTTCTTTAGTACTAATTAATTGAGTAAGGCCTAGTCGTTTAGTATTAACAAGTCCATATCCATTGGCAACCGCCTATTAAGTACCATCATTCCTTTACCTGTGTGGCATCCAGTCGACCTGTGTTCACCTGTATAACATTGCCGTTTACGCTTCAGTAAAGCTACACACGAATAGCGCAATATTTTCTTGAAAGGATGATGTATTGGGTTTCTGGAAACTATTTCTTGTCGCCATAGCGCGCTGTGCTCTTCTATTGATCTTTTTCGTGTAATTAATTAATTCATTAATTAATAAACAAGTGTTAATAATGTCCCGCGTTATTTTACTAAAACCTTTCATGGTGTCAATTACTGTAAAATTGTTATTTTACTAAGACCTTCCATGGTGTAAATTAAAATTGTTGTGTAGACATATTAGTGTTAAAATAATGTGTGCAATTACCCAGCATATTTTCCCACTCAGATGAGCTCAGGTCCTGAACATCCACTCTCCACACTTGGATCCATTTCTTAAGAAATTGCTTGTAGCAAGCACCTAATAGCAGGTCACGTGAACAACGGTTCTCAAGTAGGTTCAAAATGGTTTAA